AAGGACTTTTCAGCTTCCCATGCTCTACCGACTGAGAAGGCTGCAGGTGCACAAGAAGCTGGGAGGGGGCACAGCCAAACTGGCCAAAGGGACATTCCATACCATGTGACGTCATGCTCAATACGTAAACTGGGGAAAGCTGCCAAAGGGATATTCCATACCATGTGATGTCATGCTCAGTATATAAAGTTTGCCCACTTTTACTCTTCCAATTCTCTCCCCCATCCCACCAGGGGCTGGGGGGGGCAGGGAGCGAGCAAGCGGCTGTGTGGTGCTCAGTTGCCGACTGAGGTTAAACCATGACATGGGCGACTCATTACAAGTGGAGTTCCTCGGGGCTCTACCCTGGGACATACTCTGTTTCATATCTGTATCAAAACCCAGAGGAGGACACAAAATAGGCCCTCATCAAGTTTGCAGATGCCAAAACGGGTGATGCAAGTGACTTGCACAAGGGCAGGGCTTCCATTCAGAGGGACCTTGATATGCTACAGGCATGGGCTGGCAAAACTTGTGAAGATGAGGACAAATACAAAGTCCTGCATCTGGGCTAGACTAAACCCCACAGCACTACAGGCTGGGGACTGACTGGCTGGGGAGCAGCCTGGATGAAAAGGACCTGGGGGTCCAGGTGGGCAGTGAGCTAAGCATGAGTCCACAGTGCATGCTGGCAGCAGTGAAGGCTAACAGAAGACTGGGATGTATCAGCAAGAGCCTAGCCTGTAGATAGAGGGAAATAATTCTTCCCCTTTACTCAGCACTCGTTAGACCCTGTGAGGAATACTCTCTCCATGATGGGCCCTGCAGTACGAGAAAGATGTTGATAAACTGGAGCAAAGCCAGCAGAGGGGCCTTCAAGATGGTTGGGAGCTGAAACACATGACCTGTGAGGAGAGGGTGAGGAAACTGGGCTTGTCTAGCTTGGAGAAGAGATGTCTTCAGAGGGACCCACCAGCACCTTTCTGATACCCATTGAGAAGATGGAGGCCAATTCTTTACCGAGGTGTGTGGTAGGAAGACAAGTGAAGACATGGTGGGAAGACAGGTTCCCAAAGTTGTTGTCATCACCAATCTGCTCTGAATTGAGTGTTAATCCTGCTGAGTGGGAGGCTGGACCAGGTGACCTCCTGAGATCCCTTCCAATCTAAATGATTTTGTGGTAAGCATTGCGCTAATCAGCAGTCCTCTGTTTTACCAGGTCAAAAATAAAGAAAACAACTTACCAACCAAAACTACAAGTCTGTATTTGTCATTAGGTTGTCGTCTATATTTTGCAACTTCTTCATATGTTGGGATATCTGCTGTATCATATTGATCGCTCTTCTTGCACTCATACATAGATTTGTTTGTTTTTTTATCTTTTCTGCTAAGACGAAAGCTTCTTCTAAAACCAGCTGCAATAAGAAGAGGATTTTTTCAAAGTAAGAAAATAAGTCTTCTCAAAATATTTGAAAACAGTTTCTTCCAAACATTTGAGGATTGGTGCATGGAATAAAAAAAATATTACGTGTTCAATAAGCCAGGTCATTAGAATGATATTTTCCCACAGTTTAAAACTGTATCAGGTACCTATTTAAACTGCAAAATTAAGATTACCAATAAAATTATAACAGTTGCAACAAAAAGCTGTAAAATATAATTACAGTAAGTTGCTAACATATTTAGATAATTTGAGTATCTTATATGTTCTTATACACAAGGAAAACATTCATGCAACCTGGACTCTCATACCACACTTAATGCATTTCTGTTAAATCACCATGGCACACAGACATCAAATACGACATACGGTAGAAACACATCTGGTGGTTGAAAGGGTTAATGAGAATTAACTCCTTGAACAATATTTTTGTGCTTAGCTCCATGCTGATAGCATAAAAAAAAGTGCACAAAACCTTTCCTGAAGATGTTTAAAAGTAAAACCAAACACTGTTAGTTAAATTCCAAAACACTATGAAACATCTTAGACAATACAGTACCCATATTATGGATATGTTAGCATGAAATTAAAAGTTAATATCCCTATTAAATTTGCATTTACAATTGCATCAACAGTGAGACATCTACAGTGCCTATCTAGAAGAGTGGAATTTTCATACAGCATTTAAGTACTCTCAGAGCAGATAATCATAGGCATTTTCAAGCAGAACAGCACAAAAAACCCCTAAAAACTAATTTACTCCTCTGTTAATGATTACCTTACAGTTTTTCAAATAAATCCTTTACATTGCATTGCATTACATTTTACTGGTATCTCTGTGGCACTGCTTTTGTTCTAGAAGGAACAACAGGAAGGACTGCAAAGAAGGACTGCAAAGCTGATTTCATTATTTGGGGGTAATAAAGTAAAACACAAACTACACTTTAAATACTGGAAAAATTCCAACACTTTTTTTTTTTGCCCAGAACATTTCATAGCACAGTAAACACGTGTAAACTTTTGGTGACCCCAGATTTTTCAGCAATATGTTTTCATAAACTTGTAAAAGCACTTATGTTTAGGTGTTTGAGAAGTAATCATATTACAATTTTTTCTTCAAAGGTAGTAGTATCTGGTAAATTCAAGACTCAGTTCTGCAAATATTTAGAACCAGATCTGAAGCGAAATCCTACAAGGCTTAGTTCCAGGCTTAGCATTTTGCACACACACAGTTCCACTTAGCATAAATCTTTGCAGAACCTGGATCACAGAGGATGTTAACCAAGTTATTTTACTGATGTCAGCCCTATACCTAGGGGAATCTACAACACATGCATACACACAAAAAGGGAAGAAAAATTTCTTTGAGAATACATTCATGTCGACCCATTCATATTCAAAATATGAATACGTAAAATGAAAATCAATGAAAAAGGAGAAGAGCTAGCATTCACAGAAAAGGAGGATGACATTTTTAAGAGCTACAGTATTGTCTAGACTGAGAACGACATGGGCTGAGATAGAAAAGGGACCAAAATATGAGATATGAAAACATAATGAAATAAACCGAGTTATGTTATTTTATAATTTAAAGAACACTAACGCTGAAGTGACTGCAGTCAGGAAAGCCCTGCTGGAGCGCTGACAGCTGTGAGTGTACACACCCAAGAGGGGGCCCGGGAGATCTTGTCTGCCCTAGGGTGAAGTCCGTCATAGAACCATAGATCCTCGTCATGACACGAGGATGCTACATAACTACATCTAACTGTATAGACAGTTATACAAAGGTTAAAAGTAACATTAGCGATACAGACACATGAAGTGAGTTACAAGTTTCCTGAGGCCTCGTCTAAAAGGCTCCAGATTAAACAAACAAACAAACAAAAAAATCAATTGCCCTAAAAGCAAGCTGAAAATTGCTCTGATTTTTTTTCTGTATAATCATTTTATGGGGAAAAAAAAAAAAAAGAAAAAAAAAGAAAGACTAATTCTTCACCATTCGCTACTAAACAGTTTACAGAATAAAGAGCTTTGTCACAAAACCCAGAATCCACATACCTGGAAAAGGTAAAAAGTAAGGGTAGTGACCAAATGAAGCTAAACCAATCGTCTCCATTCCAGTTTGGTGTTGACCTTACAAATGCCAAGAGCTCTGTGCCTCTGTGTAGCTGTCCCAAGAGTGCCATTACCAACAGCTTCTTAACCTCGGCTTACATGTCAAACTGCAGAATCTTTAGGAAAAATATCCTTTCTGCAAAATCTTCGTATCAATTCAATCTCTGCTGTTAGGTTTTAGTGAGACCGTTTGTAACTTGTTCCTCTTTTCTCCATCCACTTTATACCAAACTACCAGGTGGTGGGTTATTTAAGATTTTTCATTCCTTCTTCTCTTAAAAAGAGGAAAAAAAACTGTTTTGTTTTGGATTTTTTGTATCAAAAAGGAGAAAATCTTTCAGTGCTGTCTTCAGGCTGATTCATCCCTTGTCACTTTTACAGGCTGCATATAAAGCATCACAAAGACTCAAGGTGATACAGTTCCACTGCTAACATGGGTTTCCTTGATTAAACATTTGATATTTCTGTGACTGAAACTCACTGATAAAATGAAAATAGTATTGTTGTCCTGTGTATTAAGAAGGTTCAACAACAAGTTCAACTAGGACTTAGACATTACAGAAAAGCTGTTATATTAAAAAGAACAAACAAACATGTGAGCCAGAGCTAACGAAGCAGATTTTCAGTACGGCTGATTTCTCTGCAGCGTGCTGCAGACGCTCTGTAAAACTACTGAATATTAAAAACCTGAGATACGCTGATTGCTTTGCCACTTTAAGACTACTGTCAATTTGAAAGTTGTTTTAACTGTTCCTCAAAGCACATCTGAATAGCCCTATCGAGAAACCCAAGAAAGCTTGCTTTAAGCAGCTTGCAAAACCAAGGAAAACGTACAGTACAGAGAGAAAGGATGAGACTGTTTCAAATATATCCAACATTTTTATGATACTGCTACTGTATTCCTGGAAACATGATTCTCCGTCTCTCACATCTGCCATTATATATCCTCACATTTGTGGCTTAACTTTACTATGACCTTTAGAAGCTATTTTATAAAGAACAGTTAGTAAGTATTATCTATTGAACTCTGCATTTCTAATTGCATTATATGTTGGGCAGCTATGACTGTGCAAAAAGATTAAGCTGAACTGCAACAATATCATACTTGCAAGGAATAAAAACATATATGAACAAGCAAAAAATATTCTGCTAATGTTTGCATATTTTACAGTTTAGGAAAGATGAAAAAAAACTTCCTATATTTAAATTAACAATAGAGCATTATTAAAAACATAGTGAAAATCACTACAGAAAAACAAAACCAATACTGATATGCAATAGAAAAATAAATTTTCTATAAAATGATTAAGCTTAAAAGTAAATTCCTATAAAGAACAAAAGGAAAAAGAATTGCTTGCCCAGAATATTTGATAATATAAACCTCAATGAATATGAAAGGAGCTGCAGGCTATACTGTCTGTGGAATATGGATATCAGCGGAGATTAACCTTAGTTGCCAAGTATGCGGACTATAAAATAAAAGGGGAAAATTCTGTCACTAAAGCCACATTCAAAAGCTTGCACCAGCTCACTGGTTTCAGCTACATGACCAGAAGCCTACTGAACATGCAAACCCATAAACTACTGCTGGAATGTAACAGTTTGGTGAAATAAGCACAGCTGCTGGGAAGAAAATATGAAGAACAAATGTTCTCAAACTACGAATGTCTCCAAACCTTATACCACTTCTCAACAGGAAACAAAAATCATAAGCTGCTACTAATAAACTTAAATAAGGCCCAACAACAATCCAAAAGAACCAACTTACATCTCTAAGAAAGAGAATGAAAAAAACCCTAGAAGAAAAGTGTGGTTATTCTTTTAACCACTAGCAATATACATTTGGTCATCTCAGAACAACATCTTTACATTTACATAGAGAAATACACTTGGACTTCACACAGAAATCCAAACTGAAAAAAGGCAATGCATGAACCTGTCTCCCCTAAAATATTTTAAAAGGACGCCAATGTAAAAAGCTTTGCTTATTTAGGTTTAGTAATATAATTCTAAAGGAGTGAACAAAAGATTGTGATTATGTTGTGTGAATTTAAATCCAAATCTGTTCATGAAAGCAGAAAGTTAATTTCTCAAATTCAGAGAAACTACGCTAACAGGTAATACTATCATTTAAATTCACCTACGCTTCACAAATTCACCAGTAAGGCTCCAGAATGCTATAAAGCACTTAGACATGCTTTTGTTCATTTTCATTCACTAAAACAAGTGCTTAATTATGTGTTTAAATTATGTATATTCTTCACTGAATTTAATCTAATCTTACATAATTTAGAGTGGACAAATGCTGTTTAATTGTAAATGCATTTACAAGTACTTTTTGTATTCATATTAGTGACAAAAGTAAGTTTGGTACCGTTGTCATTATCTAGGTTTATATGAATACAATATTTTTACTAGATATTTCTGGGGTCCCCCCTCAAATATTGAGATCTTTTTATACTGGCTCGTGTACTAAGTATTTCTATTGTTACACAGGAACTGCACAAACACAGAGCAGACTTCTTACTCTGTTTGCTTCTGGACTGTTTCCCAGCTTGCACATTTAGACAGGGTTAATAAAAATTTAGATTATGTCTGGATTTTTAAGACAAAATTGAGAATAGTAAACAGATGATATTCATCTATATTTACTGTATGTTCATAAAGGTTCAAGTAATGTAACTAGAATTTAAGCTTGGCAAAGGCAAACTCCTAACGTTCTTCCCCAGCAACTCCTCAGGAAATTACTGCAGAAACATACAATACTATACTATGACTTAAATATTAGAACTTGGTAAAAAATCATGAAATTTATCTGAGTGACTTTAGAGGGGAGGGTTCAAATTAATAGCAGTATAA